CCCCTCCCTCTCGGCCAGGAAAGGGGGGGTACCGAGTCGTTAGAGCGTCCAAGATGGCCCAATATTGCTCCAAGAGGGCTTCGAAGTCGCAAGATGGCCTCCAAGATGGCCCATGCTACTTCAAGATGGGTCCAGATAGGCTCCGACATACCCCCAAGAGGCCCCAAGACAGCCCCAAGACGGATCCAAGTGCCCTTCGAGCCCTCCACGGCGCCCTCCAAGATGCCAACACCGTTCAAAAGCCTATGGGAAATCATTGTGTTTGGCATTCTCGCCTTTTCGCTTCCGATGGGCTTTGGAAGCCTCAAGATGGCCCCAAGATGGCCCAAAAGAGGCCCAAGAGGAGCCCAAGAAGGTCGAAGACGGCCCCAAGATCGCCCAAAAGGCGCCCAAAAGCGCTCCAAGAGGGCCCCAAGATGTCGTTTGAGAGCCTCCGAAGGGGGGGGGGGGGGGGGGGCGAATTCCTTCCACCCTTCTTTTTGAGCCATGGTGCCCAAGACGGCTCCAAGAGGCGTCCCGGACCCCCCAAAGAGCCCCAAGAGGGCTCCAAGATGGCCGAAAAGAGGCCCAAGAGGGGCCCAAGAAGGCCGAAGACGGCCCCAAGATCGCCCAAGAGGCGCCCAAGAACGCTCCCAAAGCGCCCCAAGATGCGGTTTGAGAGCCTCCGAGGGGGCGATGCTAATTGAGGAACCTCCTTGTTCTTTTTGAGCCATTGGGCCCAAGATGACCCCAAGAGGCCTCCCAGCCTGTCCCCAAAGACCCTCCACCCTGCCCTGTTTGGCCCAATACGGCTCCAAGAGAACCCTAGATAGGCAAATCTGGTTTTCAAAATGGCCTAAGATAGCCAAGCGTGGCTCAAGATAGCCTCCGACCGACCTTCAAGAGGCCTCAAGGCAGCCTCAAGATGGCCCAAGATAACCGAACATGGCTCAACATAGCTACCGACAGCGTCTAGCCGAACATGGCTCAAGATAGCCTCCAAAGAGGCCTCAAGAAGACTTGCAATCAATTCTGGAAGGGCTGGTGGGGATACTTTTTTGGTTGGCGGCTCCTAGGCGACCGTCTAGGAGCGGAAGCGACGTCTGGGACGGCGGAACGGTGCGAATTTGCGAACACAGCCGCCAGTGTCGGCAAGCCAGCTCGCAATACTACGACAGGCAACACACCTGCAGGAAAAACAAACAATGAATGCAAGTGCACGTACAAACAACAAAATGCTCCTCATTCGGCAGCGGAAAGTCGCCCTATTGGCGCCAGTCCGCGCGGCCGACCTATCCCGGACAGGTAGTGCCAGGGTGCCGCAGCCGTATCGATGTCGGCTAAGACAGGGGCAGAAGAGGCAGGAACCTACCGAGTGCTCACTCCGCGATCCACACCGTTGCCCATGGTGGGGCCGACCAGCCAGCGAATCCGAAACCACTCGCGATTCTGAACCACGATGACAAGACGCGCCTGCCCAAGCGTCAGTACTGCTGCCATCGGGTAACGGGTGAGGGCTGCCAAGGTACGCTGCAGCCGCAGCCAGCTTGAAGGCGTAGAGGTGTAGCCAAGACTGGACCTGCCACAACCAGACCACAGTGAGAGGCGGTGAACTGCAGGTGCAGAACCGCCCGCACACTCCGCGGCTGTGGGAGGGGGGGCAGGCGTGTCGTCATCGGACCGATGACAGTAACAGGTCGGGGTCGCAACGATGAGCAAGAAGACGCTGGCACGGGGCCGGTGTGCTGCAACTCGCATGCCAGATGCAGATAGAACCGGGCCGACGCGTTGAAGGCTGAACCGCTCAACGCGAGGACCGTGCCACCGCCGTGTACGGGGCCGGCTGGGACAGAGGCAGAAGCAGAATGGGGGTTGAACGGAGCCCTCGCTCCACGAACCACGCCGCTGCCCATGGTGGGGCCAATGCGCCAGCCATCGTCTATGGGCACAGCCAGGAAGCAACGATGGACGAGGTCGCGAAGGGCCAAGCGCCAGTACTGCCGCCAAGCGGAAACGGCCGAAGACCGCCAGGTTCGCTGCAGCCGTGGCTAGCTCGAAGGCGCTGGGGTGTAGTCAAGGCTGAATCTGACGTCAGGGGGGGCCTGGGAGTACCACTCCGCGGACCCCGCTGCAGCCCGGAAGGGGCAGGTGTGCGTCATCGTACCCGAAACCAATGACGGGACCGTATCAGATGAGCGAGGACACACTGGCCCAGGGCTGGTCTACTGCCGCCCCGCAGGTACCGGGAAATACGCTGAGACCCACGGGGCAGAGAGGGGGTGCAGCCAATAGCTGCAAAGTACACAAGCGAGGGAAGGGAGAAGAGGAAGAAGAGGGGAGGCGCGGCCAACAGCCACAATCACATGTGTTTGACGCAGGAGGAGAGGGGTGCCACTTCCCACGACAATGGCGGTCTCATGGGGGGGAGACCCGCCACTGCGCTGGGCGGTGCAGGCGCCTGTCCCCATGGTGGGTGGACAGCGCAATCCGCATCGGTGAGCTGGCTGGCCTCCTCATGGCCCTTTCTAACATTCCCGACACTACCGCTTCGCGGTACTAGGGGGGGTTCTGTGGGCTGCACACGGACCTCCGTTAACTGAGTGGTGCGCAGTGGGAGGACTATTCCAATCAACTGTCCTCCGCCGACTAAAGTGGCTGTCGGGAGACAGCAAAGGGAGTGGAGTCTGGGGAGGCGTCTGCGTCCGTCCCCAGTCCCCAACCGCGCAGTCAGCCGTCGTAGAGGGCGGCTGTTGGCCATGGGACGGTGGGGCCTACGGGCTCGCCCTCCAGCCACTGGGGGGGGCAAGAAGGCAAGGCAAGGTCCACTTATCCAGTGTGGGCTGTCTAGCTATGCAGCGCCTTGGGTGAGATGTGGGGAGATCCCCACCCCAGCGGGAGATGCCCAGGGTATTGCGGCCAAGGCCGGGCGCTGCTCGGTGAAACAGTCCCCCGCGGGGAGAGGGCGGCTAGCGCCTGGGGGGTTCGCCGTCGCTGAGGGCGGGGGCACCCCGACGGGCGGGCCTGTCCCTGCGTGCCCTTGGCCCACTGGTGAGGTCAATCCCACCGTCGTGCGCGCTTGTCGGTGTATGGATCTTCTCCCCTGGGGGAGTAGCGTTAGCCTTTGGCTTTCCAATCGGTATCTGTCCACGGTGCGCCCTGGTGATTCCAGGAACCCCATTCCCGCCAACCGTGCCGCGGGTTGGCGGAGCCGGATGCACCAGTCCATTGCTCCTGCGGCGACGCCTCTGTCGGCCTCTTGGCCTCCTTGGTCCATGGGGTGGGGCCGCTGCTGCCGTCGGTCAAGCGCTGAGTGTGGGGCCTGGGCTCGCGTTGCAAGAGCCGGGTATGTCTGTCCTTGGCCGTTGGCCAATCGACGCGGAGCCCTAGGTCTCTCTCCATCTTGTCTGCGTCATACGCTGCGTTGCCCCATGCCTGGAGGAATTCGCCGCAAAGCTGCGCGGAGTTCAGCTTGGGGTCATTCTTCACAGTCTCGGTGGTCCCCTGTCTCACGGCGTCCTCCTCACCCATGCGACCCAGACCCCGTTGAACGCACCTCCCAGGGTCTTTTGTAGGCGTGATATGTGGTGGGGATACGCGAAGCGTCAATACTTTTCAAAAAAACCATCGGAAAATACATGATTTTCGGCTTCCGGAGCGCTTTGGAAGGGCCTACGGAGGCGCTCGGGCGTTTTGGCGGCGTCGTCGGCCGTCCTGAGGCCATCTTCGGCGTGTCCCGGGCTTCTTGGGGCTGTCTTGGCATTCTTTAGGGCCCTCTGGGCGTGTTGTTGCGTGTTTGGGAGCGGGCCGGGCAATCCCGGGAGGCCTGGGACCCCGGCCTATGCCGATACATATATATATATATATATATATATGTATATATACATCAGCGGATAACATATGTCTCGTGGAAACCACGCGCGTCTTGGCGGCTGCGACCCGGCCGCCGAAGGGATTAGGCCAGCACCCCTGGAACGAGCCTTAAAAAATCCTGGTGTGGGTGGGTGGGCCGAAACAGCAGACTTGAGAGAGAGACGTTGCGGACGAACCTCGTTTTAAAGCACGTCGAGTTTCACGAGCCCCTTGAAGATAGTTATGTGCACGCACCCCTCTATCAGCGGGGCTTCTTTTCCAGCGGATAACACATGTCTTGTAGAAACCGCGCGCGTCTTGGCGGCTGCGACCCGGCCGCCGAATGGATTGGGCCAGCACCCCTGGACCGAGCCTTAAAAATCCAGAAAACACCAGAAAAGGGGACGTTCTCGAATTAAAGAGGGTCTGGGCTAGGGCGGGTCGCGAGAGCAAGATCGGAATAGTTGATCATGGTATTCCGAATACGATGCAGCAGCGAGTGGGCGAACGATTCACACAACCTCCACGGATATGGTTGGGCTCTACGTGCCATGGCGGATCCTTCTAACTGGTGGTGCTTACATCCAATCGTACTGCAAAAACCTTTTTCCCTGTGCAGACGCGCCTCAAACTGACCAGGTCTTCTCCTGGGATTCCCCCGCAAATAAAACAAGTGCGCTTCCTCCAAGGAGCGCCAAACTGGCAAACGTCGCTCACAACCATGCACCTCGACGCCTTCCCAAGACAGCATCGCTTGCACATGCGGGATCGTCCACATCTTAGACGAGCTTGAATTCTCGAGAATCCACGGAATCTTCCGAGCATGCACATACGTTATAATATTCAAGCACGCGTTGGGACACGCGTTTCCTTGCGCCAGCTTTACCGCATCCCGTGTGCTACACCAGGGGGCTCACCAGGGACACTGGGGCGTTCGCATGACCGCGTGCGGTCTCTGGCAACCGAGAACGTCTGACAAGGTGGGGCGAACGTGGCTGCCAGGAGACGGCCCAAGCAGGCGTCTTGGCGTATGCACCTGGGCACAGGCGGGCGAATTAAATCGCCCTGGGGCCCCTCTCGGACGTCCCAGGTCCGGGCAGGCGCACCTCGTCGGCGGCTGGCGCGGGCAACCCCGCCTTCGCCCGAGAAAAAATCGCCGAGATATTGGCCTTTCAGTGCCGCTCCATGCCGCCCGCTGCGCGGCTGGCGCCTCGCAGCAGCAGCTCCTCGAGGCGCGCGTCGAGCACCTCGCAACGCGTCCGGGTCGCCAAGGGAAGGTCGTGCCAGGCCTTGCTGAGCCTCGCCGCCTTTCGTGCCGAACGACCGACTTTCGGCTTGCCCAGCGCACCCTCTTGCGCACCTCGTCGAGGGGGCGGAACTGCAGGGCCCTGTCGATGCTGGGGCCGCTGTGCCGCATCATGTAGGGCACCGCTGGGGCGCCGAGCCCCGCGCACGTCCCCTTGAACTGTCTTGCCGGCTCTGGGTGCGTGAACGCCCAGACGGGCTTGCCCTTGGGGGCTCCCGCCAGCGCAGACCGCAGCGGCGTCAGCTCCAGCTGCCACTTGCACTCAAGAACCACGCTGTCGTCCATCGCCCCCGTCTTGGTGGTGATGCCCCTTTTCTGCGGGCAGATGATGAAAGACCAGAGTGCCCCGACGCCCCCCGCGCTGGGGGGGACAGGTCCTCGGGCTGAATTTTCATCAGCTCGTGGGGCCGCAGGTATGCCCCCGCGCCCAGGAGGACGGCCACGGCTATCAGCTTGTGTCCCCGCAGGCAGAGGTCTGCGGCGATCGCCCTCCACGCCGCCTGAGGCAGAGGGCGCCTGGAGCGGCCGGGCGCAAGGCGGCGCCAGCCCCGCAGGCAGCGCCAGGCCCGGGGGAGCCGCCGCTTGCCAGCCTTGCTGAAGGCCGGGTGGCGGTCGGCAAACGCTGCCAACACCTTCTCCCCATAGTCCGGCTGCCGGCCAGAGAGGAAGCTCGCGTTGAAGAAACACGAGCCAGTCGTCCACGTCGTCGTCACCCGCGAGCGTTGGGTCTAGCCCCTTTGCGAACGTCTCGAAGTCCTGGAGGTCGCTCGAGTAGTAGCGCCGCACGTTGGCCGTCACCGCCTTGTCCTCCAGCAAGCTCAGGCCCTCCTGCTCGAAACCCAGCGCCGCTCCCAAATGCTTCGCCAGCCGCCGCCGCGACCGCCTCGCCAGCCCCCTTGCCCTTCCGCCGACGGCGTCGGGCTTGGGCTCGGACGAGGAGCTGCCGCTCGAGCTGGAACCGGCGGGAACCAGCGGCGCCGGCCCCAGGGCGGCAAGGCCGTCCAGCAGGTTCGGCCCCGTGGTCGGCAGACGGTGCGCCAGGTCGCCTGGCGGGCCCAGCGTCCGGGAAGACCGTCTAGGCGCCGTCGGCCCGAGAGACGCATCCCCAGCTCTGCCGCTCGAAGGGGGCCTCGGGGCTCGCCGACGCTTCGGGCTCGGCGCATCCTGGGGCTCTGGTCGAGACAAAACACGAGTCCGAGGAGCTGCCTGGCGAGGCGGCATCCGAGAAAATTTCGAGCCGAACTAAGCACGGAGGAGAAAGGTGAGAGCAGCAAGCAGTCGGTCTCTTAGGAAATTCGGGGTCATGTCGACGCGAGGGTTCGTCCGCTGAATTCAATTCACTTGGAATCCACCTAAAAGAGAAAGCTGCATTACGAGAAAGGCAGTGCGCCACGGCCCGACGGATATGAATGCGGAGCCGAAGTTCGCGTGAGCGGGACGGTGCAAAGGCCAAAACAATACTCATATTGTCGCTAAGCATCAGAGCCCTACAGTGACACCCACGGGAGTTCAAAACAAAACGACGGACCCCCAGCCCCAAGGCCCGAGCCTCGAGAATGAGGATGTCCTCGGCGAAACTCCATTTGCCCCAGACGCGAGGGGCCCAGAGGCCTTTGTAGAGGAGCCCCGCTGGGACCTCAGGAAAATCGGGCGCGACAGAAAACTCGGCGCTCTCGTCCTCTGGGGATTCCCAAGCACCAGATCGAGGGTCCCGAACGAGGCCGGCCGCCCTGAGCGCCGACTCGCGAGCACTGTGGCCCTTGAGCTGAAACCTGCTCCTCACCGAAACACGGCCGACGGAGGACACTTGCGCCGGGCGCCAGAATGACGTTCAGACTCCATATCCCTGCTCACTGGCATCGCTCTCAGTCACAAGTTCACTCCAACCGCGTCCCCAGTCCCGAACCAGAAAAATCATCAGTCCTTTCCAAGCTCGGATCTCATCACGAACGGAATGCCGCAGAGGAGCGACCTCCGAGTAATGGGCACAACAAAATCGATAGCACGTGTGGAAGTTCGACAAGAGGCCTCTCTGGATCAGACTCAGGAAGGTAGCGTGACCAAGACAACATTCGAGAGCCCAACCTGCGCATTTACCACGACGGAGTAATTCCTCACTCGCAGCCCACACCTTCCAAAAACGTTCGGGCGTGGCGGCGGTCCGCAGCCGCTGGCCGTCAAGCCGGCAGCCCAGGGCGCGGATGTCCCTGCTCACCACCTCCCCGCCGTGGAGCTCCAGCCCGTGGTCAGCGAAGCTCGCCTCGCACTCGTGGACCGCGCGCTGGACCAGGCCCTGGTCCTGGGCGAAGGCGCCCAGGTTGTCCACGTACACGCGGTGGCGGGGGCGGCCCTCGGCCAGCGCCAGGGGGGGCGACCTGTCGTGCAGCAGCGTCGACCCGCGCAGGCTGGGCGCCGCAGCCGCCAGCCGCTCGTCAGCCTTCTGGGCGAAGTACGACGACCCAGCGAAACCCATGCACATGGGGGCGGAGGTGGGCCACGCAGCGTCGGTGGGCCTGAGCCGTACTCCGTCCAGCTCGCGCAGCCCCAGCACCCGCGCGGGCACCTCCGGCCAGGCGAAGTAGGGCCTGAGCCAGGCAGGGGCCTTGAGGCGGTGGAAACAGTCCTTTACGTCAGCCATGCCGAGGTGCAGCCTGACAGCCTCCAGGCCCGCTAAGACGCCGTCGCCAATCTCGATGTTTGCGAAGGCCTCCGAAGTGCACGAGCGGACGCCTGGCGGGGCACGGAACCAACAGTTGCTCCTCCGAGCATCGATGATCAGCCTGAGACGTGTCTTGTTGCTCTTCCAGACGAAGAAGATCCCGACCCTCTCCAATGGCCTGGGGGGGGCATCCAGCAATCTAAGATCCCAGAGCCGTCTGACGAAGCCGTGGTAGGCCATCTTATTGTACAGCAGCTTTCTATCGGTGTAGGGTGTGATCCCACGTGTCTCGAATTCAATATTCTCCAAGTCAGTAGCGGGCCGCAGCATCAGGTCATGATGGGCCTCGAAGTAGCGAGAGACCTCGGCGTCCAGCAGCGACTCGATCGGAGGGGACCCCGACACATCGCTCGGCAGGGACACCAGGTCGGCGTCGAATGCCGCGAGGTTCGCGGGGCCAGTCTCCAGCTCGTACAAGGGCCGGCCGTGCAGGAGGTCTCGGAGGGCCTCCCGCCCCGAGAGGGCCACAGGCATGAGCTCCCAGTCCTTGACCAGGCCTTCCACGCAGGCCATCACCTCTGGCGTCAAAACTCCCGGCGCCGCAGGCTCCTGAGAAGGGCCCCAGGTGTCGTAGCTGGCGAGCCAGTTCAGTCCGTGGACCGCCTCTTGCACCATCCTTGTGCGCCGCCTGGCCTGACCCCAAGCCTTCTTTGCCGAACGTGTCGAAGTGGCAGGGCCTGCAGGCGCGGCAGGAACAGACCGAAGAAAGAAGTCCTTCCGAGGACGGCCACCTGGGGAAGGAACCCCAGCGCCCCGCGCTTGCCCGCCAAGGGAGGGCCGAGTCCCTTTGGCGGTGCTGCCGATCATTGCGGATCGGCGGCAGCGGGCGCGAGTCCGCGCCGGCCTCGGCCGCCGCCGCCGCGCCCCCCGCCGCCGCGACCTCCACGTGCGCCGCGACCTCCAGCGCCGGCCGCGGCGTCGCCCGCGTCGGCGCCCTCCGCCGCCGTAGTGGGGCTGCCGAGGAGCCCCCGCGCGCCGTCGCGCGCCGCCCTGGCCCAGAGAGCTGCAATCGCGTCAGCCCGATCCTTAGCCCGCCGCGCAGCGAACGACTGGAGGGCCGGGCTCGCGGGGTTCTCGGGGGTGCCAGTGCCCATGTGCAGCTTGGCGTGCTCCCAGGTGACCTTCTGCGGGTTCGCGTGCGCGTCGATGATGATCTGGATACGGCGGCGCAAGGTCTCAACTGATGCGATCGCTCCAACATTCAATTGATCATAAGCCCCCGCAAAGTACAGAGCGTCGCACAGCACCCTCATCTCATGGTAAGTCCGATCCGACCCATCTATCTTGCGCTCCCTCAACCACATGAGGAGCCACTGCCGAGGGTCGCCGCCGTGGCGGTCGAAGTGCTTTGCCAAGAACAGGGCGGTGCCGGGGCCCTCCAGGGGCGTGTCCGAGAAAGTCTCCTGAGTACTCTCGTGGGTCACGTCCCGCCGGTACTTGAATCTCTCTCCCTGGTTGTCGTAGTCGACCCAGCGTGCGAATGTCGACGGCGGGATCTGCATCCCTGGGAGCGGTCGCGTCGGCCTCCAGGCCCAGCGCGTCCCGCAGCGAGCCGTCCGAAGGCCTCGGGCGCCCGTCTCCGCCCTTCGCCGCCTCGGCCTTGTCGGCCTCGGCGGCAGAGGGGTCCGCCAGAGGCGGGGTCGAGGTGCCCCCGACGGCCGCGCCGTCTCCAGGCTGCCAGCGAGCCCGCACCGTGGCCACCACGTCGGGCGCCGCCTCTGATCGCATCAGCCAGCAGTGGACGTGGGACGACCCGTCCAGCACCAGAGCGTCGTGGTCGCCAGCCGCGACGAAGGCCTGGCCGCGCAGCGTCGCCTCGTCGCCCGGCGAGAGCGACTCACCATCGCCCATCGCATGCCAGCGAAGGCCTGGCGGCGGCGCGCTGGCATCCGCCGGCGCCGCCGGCGGGGTGGCCGACGGGGGCGGCAAGGGCAACCCGCCTCTCTCGGGCCCGGGGGCCGAGGTCCGCTTGCCCCGCGCTCGGCGAGCCGGCGCGGGCCAGTGCGGGATCAGCCCGCTGATCGGCGCCATCTCGCCCGCGGACAGGAGCACGTCGTCCAGCGCAGGAGGCGCCGGCCCAGAGCCAGGGTCGCGCGCCACCGCCGCCCGATACCCACGCTTGATCACGAGCTCCTCGCGGCCCGGGAACACTCGGAACCGATAGAGCTTCCTGCCCAGCCGAGCGGGCTTCGAGCCGTCATCTGGCAGCGGGTACGTTCTGGCGATGTCCTCATCCACTCCTGTCGCCACCGCCTCTGGCCTTCTCGGGGGTGCACGGGTGAAGCAGCAGCCGCTCGTGGTCCACCGCGCCCCCGCGGTGCTGAACGCCGATCGTCTGGCCCTGCTTCAGCTCGCTCCACCGCGGCCCGCCGTCCTCGAACATCAGCAGCGACATCGCGAGGAGGACGGTCGCCGACCGGCGCGCGCCTCGCCGCGGGCCGGCGCCGTCCCCCCGCAGCCCGCGCCGCCGCTCGCGCCAGAGGCCTCCCGCAAGCAAATGCGAGGCCACCTGCTCCGCCGCGCCGGTTCCGCTAGCCGTCGGCGCCGGGCGACTCGGGCAGACTGGGCAGGCTGGCGCCAAACGGCAGTCGGGGCAGCCCCACGCCCGCGGCACCTCGCCGGTGGGGAGGGGCGGCGGAGGAGCTGCGGCCGCCGCGACTGCCGGCACCTCGAGCTCGAGCAGCTCCACACCCCAGAGGCCGCCCACGGCAGCCGCCAGGAGCGCCGCCAGCGCCAAATGGGCCAGGCGAGGCCCGGGGGCGTCGACGGGGCCGGGGAGCGCGAGAGGCATCCGCTATCCGAAACAGCAGACTTGAGAGAGAGAGAGAGAGAGACGTTGCGGACGAACCTCGTTTTAAAGCACGTCGAGTTTCACGCCCTATGTATGTATGTATGTATGCATGCATGTATGTATGTATGTATGTATGTATGTATGTATGTTTGTATGTCTACATTTATAGTTATACATATATATATATATATATATGTGTATGCGCATATATAGATATCTATATCTATAGCTATATCTATTGTTATATGCATATATATGTGTATTGAACGATGCCGTTTCCCTGCTGAAGAACCCATGCACATCCCAAGGCCGATGCACTTTTCCGGGCTCACCGATGCCTCCTCAAACATTATGAAATGAGACGGCCGCCATGTATGTATGTATGTATGTATGTAAGTATATCTGTGTGTGTAGATATATGTATATATAGTGGGGCATATCTATGTACTTATACATGTGTATGTATGTATGTCTGTATGCATGTATCGCTGCAATCAGCGATGCCCTTACTCTGCTGAAAAAGCTCCTCTATATCCCAAGGCCTATGCACTTTTCCGGGCTCGTGGATGCCTCTGCGAACATTATGACAAGAAGCGGCCGCCACATGGGCCGGCTACGCAAGCCGCGACCACTCATGGTGGAAGAAGGGGCGGGGGCGGGGGGGGCGAAGAGGGCGCCGATGAGCACAATGCGCAGGGGCGGTGGATCTTGAGCGCGGGGGCCCGAAGGGCGAGGTCCGCCGACGCTGGGCCTCGGCGAACGACTCGAAGCCAGAAGCTGCCAGGTTGCCTCCGCGAAAAAGCGGATCTTGCCACGGAGGGGCGCTGAGAGGTCGGCGAGACGCCTGGTCGCGCCTGACTTTTGGATATAGATCTCCTGATATGCTCGCGGCGCGTGCAACCGCTCGAGAGAGCGAGCGGGGAACGAGTCCCCAAACCTCCGTCCCAGGAACTCGAAGGGCCTCATCATGCCGAAGAAGACCAGGAGCAGGCCGCCGGCCACGTCGAGACGGCCCCAGGCCAATGCCAAGCTCACGGACACGAAAAGCAGCGCCTCTGGCATTGCCTCGTGGTTCGAGCCCGGCGTGATGTGCTTCCCAATGAAGGCGATGTCCCATGCCGCGTCGAGGCGGTGTCGCAGGGCAGGGTTGACATCCACCGCAGCGTTGATCGTCTCGTGGTGGCTCCCCATCGTGTCGTGCAGGAACTGGCCGTTCTTGGCCAAATAGCGAGCCGCAGGGTCCATCAAGATGTTCCAGCAGGCGGCTGGACCTGGCGGCGGCGGAGCTCCAATGCGGCGGCGCCGCGCGCGCCTCCTAGCCTCATGCCGGCGCTCTCGCCAGTCCCGTCGTCGGGCGCGCCGTCCGCCAGGTGGGCCCGCGCGCCCGGCGCAGGCGCCCCACCTCCGCGGGCCTCGGTCGCTGGCCCGGGCGGGGGCGGATGGCCGAGCAGGCCCCGCCGAGGCGCCGAGCCGGGGTGCGGGGCGGCCGGGGGTGGCCTGCGGGCAGCGGGCGGGGCCGCTGGCGTCCTGGGCAGGGCCCTGCCGGCCTCCAAAGCCGAGACCTGCTCCAAGAACGCACTCTGGCCCGCGGGGATCTGTTCCAAGACCTGCTGCTGCTGGAGAGCCTCCCCGGGACCTTGCGCAGGCCTGCCATCGGCTGCGCTGGGCCCGCTGGCCCCACCTGCGGGGCATCGCGCTGCCACTTCAGGTCCTCCACCTCGGCGGCGAGCCTCCGCGCCTCCTCGCGAGCTTAGGCCCGCTGCTGCTCCGCGAGCTCGACCAGCTGCGTCGTGGCGGCGGCTGGGAAAGGGGCGGCCTCCCCGGAGGGCTACGCGGCGGGCCCGACCCCGGCGGCCGCTGGCTGCAGGCCCGGTGCCAGGGGAGGGCGGAGCATCGACCCGAGGCTTGGCTGGGGGCCCCCCCGCGCGGACAAGCCTCCGCGCCCTGCAGGGAGGCCAGGGTTGCCGGCATCTCGGGGGGTGCGGCTCCCAGGGCGGACATCGGCTCGGGCCACCAGCCATCGTCGTGGGAGGCGAAAACCTGGCCGTCGGCGGGCCGTGTAATGGCGATCCGCCGCACCCAGGCGCTCGGAGTCTCCGTGAACTCGGCAGAGAAGAACTGGCCATCGAGCGGCACGACGACGCGGTCCCAAGCAGGCAGCTGCACTGTCTCGGAGGCCGCGTCGAGCCGCCCAACTAGCATCACCGCCACCGTCGAAGGGTCATCGGAGAGCACCCTGCAACGCCGCCCTCGTGGCCTCGTGGACCGAGTCGCCACTGTCCTTCAAGGTCATGCAAGCTCCCCGGGCATGCTTTCCAGCGTTCCTTTGATTACTCCCCACCGGCATGTCGTACGTTTTGGACTGCGCTGCTATCGTGTATCGTGGCCGCCAAAAGAGAAGAGCTCAACCGAAGTCCCCAGTCGGAAGGTTCGAGAGCGGCACCCGCCTCCATTTCGGCAGACACATCACGCGTTTCGTGGTCCCGTAGGGGAATCCGCTGAAGGCGCCAATGGCAAAGTTTGCGTGTGGTTCCCGCCTTCATGTCGGCCAGCGCTTCGCACGTTTCGTGGCCACATGCGGTGCTCCACCGAAGGCCTCAATGGCAAGGTCTGCTTGCGGTGCCCGCCTCCATGACGGCACATCCCTCATGTCTTTCGTCTTCCCAGTAAGTAGCTCCACCGAAGGCCCCAGTGGCAGGGTTCGCATGCGGTACCCGCATCCATGTCAGCACACCCGTCACACGCTTAGGGGCCCAATGCGGAGCTCCACTGAAGGCTCCAATGGCAAGGTTCACATGTGGTGTCCGCCTCCATGCTGGCACATCCCTCACGCGTTTCGTGGCCCCACGGGGGGGCTCCATTGAAGCCTGTACACCCTCGCGCGTTTCGTGGCCCCATACGGAACTCCACTGAAGGCCCCAGTGGCAGGGTTCGCATGCGGTGCCCGCCTCTATTTCGGCAGACCCCTCACACGTTTCGTGGCCCCATAAAGAGAAGGCCCTAGCTCGAGGAATCGCATGGGTGACCTCGCCCATCTCGGCGCACTCCGCTCGCGTTTCGTGGCCCCATCGGGATCTCCTCCGAAAGCCCACATGGCAGGACTAGCATGCGTGACCGCGCCCAAACCGGCACACTCCTCACGCGTTTCGTGGCCCCATAACGACCTCCACCGAAAGCCCCACCGCATGCTGCTCCCCAAGGCCGCGTCGACAAACGTGCAAATCAGCCGTGACGGTTACATCCAAATGTAACCCGTCACGGCCGACCCATGCGACCCCATCGGCAACGTCACGTCGCTCAACCTTTTCACGTACGCCTTGGTCCCCTTTTGCTAATTTGTTTCGCGGTACTCACAACTGCATCTGGGTGGGCCCGCCAGGCTACTTCGAATTTGGACAATCCCCAAATGCTCTCGGAAAATATGCACTCCGCGGACGGCATTGGGGTTCCAGAAACCGACAACCGAGTCTTTGGAAACTGGGGCTGGGGGGCCCCGACAGAGCCCCAGCGGACTGCAGACTCCGTCACCCAAAGGACGACCCTCGAAACCTAGAGTCCACTGCCCAATAACCGGGCGCCGTCAGCCCCAATTTAAAAACTAGCCTGTCGCAGGACCCATCCATATGCAGCCGCGAGTAACGAAAGATATTGCCTTCTCATCATGGGCAGCGCGCCGCGAGAGGGATGGAACACGGGGCAACGCGGATGGGAACCCCGACGTGCGGGGTGTGCCGAAGTGGGCTGGGGGACGCATGCGAGCGCTGCCACTGGGGCCTTCGGCGGAGCTCCCCATGGGCCACGAAACAATGTGAGAGGTGTGTCGGAATAGGCAGAGGAAGGCACACGAACCCTGCCATTGGGGCCTTCGTTGGAGCTCTCTATATGAGGCTGCGAGGCGTGTGAAGGGTGTGCCGACATGGAAGCGACGCCGCCATGCGAACCCTGTCGCTGAGGCCTGCAATGGAGCTTCCATGGGACCACGAAAAGTGCAGGGTGTGTGCCGAAATGAAGCGGGGCCGCCATGCGAACCGTGCCACTGTGCCCTTCGGTGGAGTCCCCAGTGGGGCCATGAGACGT